GGTGGTGGAGGAGGAGGAGATGGTAGTGGAGGAGGAGGAGGACGTGGAGGTGGAGGACGTGGTGGTGGTGGAGGAGGAGGTGCCTGCATGGTCAGGGCGGGTGCTAGGATGGGAGGAGGAGGAGGTGGTGGAGGTGGTGGTGGTGGTGGTGCTCGTGCTGGTGATGGTGGTGGTGCTCATGCCGCTGGACCACGGGCACCATGTAGCCCTCGGCCCCTGGCACGGCTGGAAGGTCCCGCAAGGCCTCGTGCTCCACCACAGGCTGGCCGTGTGGGGCCTTGAGTGGCGAGGGGCCCTCCCTGCCCTTCTGCCGGTATCGCTTGTGGCCGTAGGGCTGTGGTGGGGGCTGTGGAGGGGGCTGTGGGAGGTGGTGGCCGTCCTGAGGGGCCTGGGGGGCCGAGGCAGCCGGCAGGTAGTAGCCAAGGGCCTTCCCCGGCTTGCTGCTGCCTGCCAGCCCCAGTGGCTTCCCTGGGCCCTTGGGGGACCTGAGGAACTGCTTCTCCTGCCCCTTCAGCCGGGGCTGTATGTCCAGGGCCCTCACAGTGGGCTCGGGAACTGGCATGGCATGCTCGGCCAGCATCTGGGACCTGCGGTGATGGGCAGCACGGGTGTCCGGCTCCTGGGAGCGGGACCTGCTCTGGAGATAGGCGGCCCTGCCCTGCTGCTCCTGCCTTGCCTGCTCCGGCAGCCCTACAGACAGGGGACAGAGGATGGGCCCATGCGGGGCCCAGAACCGGGGTCAGTCCTGTCTCCTCTTCCTGGAAGTGACATGTGCTCAAGGTCCACAGGGGGAGGCCTCACCAGGGGCTCCCATCCAAGGCCAGCCTGGTGGCCAGGTCAGAGGTCAGACAGGCACAGGCCCTGAAGCCCAGCCCTGGACTTCTACTGGGAGTCAGTTCCCAGAGTCAGGGTGTCAGGGGACCCAGGTCACCCCTAGGACAGGGCCCAAGCACCATGGCAACCTACTGAATGCCACAAAGGGTGCTCCTAGTCAGAAGGAACCAGTGGTGGGCGGGCCTGCTTCTGTCCACTCTGTGGGCTGCCCAATGTTTCTGAGGGAGCTGGTAATTCTGCCATGGATCCCCCGAGGTCTGGCCTCTCCAGGGCTGGGTACATCATGCACACCTGGACAGGCACGGCCTTGCTCCAGGCACTGGCTGGTGCAGAGGAGTGGGCCAGGTCCTCTGAGTGGGTGGGGCACCCTTGGCCCCAACCATGTGGGGGTTCCAGAGCCCTCCGCTTGGCTAGCACCTTCGTGGAGGCCTACCTGGGGCCAGGTGGTGTAGGGTCTTCCGTTACCTACCTGGGCCAAATTTAGAGGTGTAGTTCTCGATCCCAGCCAGGTCCAGGTAGTGGTTTCTGCGCTCGGTGTTCTCATCCACGCAGTAGGGCCCCCGCACAGAGCAGGGCTGGGGCTCGACGCTGGGCCTCCTGCAGGGGCAGAAAGGAGGGGCCTGACCAGGCGCCCCTGGCCAGACCCTCACTCCTTTGACGAGGGGGCATCAGTAGAGGCAGCAAGGCCCCGGGGTGCTCTGACCAGTACCCATGGCCTGGGGCAGCCTGAGGAAGGTTGGGCACCATCCTGAGGAACAAGGTCCATAGTCCATGATGGTGGTGGTGGTGGTGGTGGTGGTGGTGGAGGAACAAGGTCCATAGTCCTATGGATCCAGGATGTCACCTGCCATGTCCTCAGAGAGCCTCGGGAAGTGACACTGGGGTGTTTTCTGGTCACCTGTTTATGGCCACTGACATCTCCCAAACTGGCCAGTGGAACCCAAGATGTGCAGTGACCCAGGCTAGGGGTGCCGGCCCACCTAGCACCTGCCACCAGAGCCTTGCCTGTCACTCAGGCTGGGTGCTCAGCCCGGCCTCCACCCAGGGCCTTCCCAGGGCAGCTGCAGAAGTGGCCACTCACCCGACGTGGGCAGACAGCCGCTTTTCCGCAACCCGGGCATCCTCTGCAAGCTCGCTCTCCGTCTGGCTGCGATTGGGCTCCCGGTCTGCAAGAGGGGTGGGCGCTCTCCAGCTTGGCTCAGGCACTACTCATTGCTGGCCCTGCACCCATCCATTCCGTCCACCGCGAGTCCCCGGCCCCACTCGCCCCTCCACTAGGGTGCCACTCACTGGGCACATCCCCCCAGCAGGGCAGCCTCGCATTTACTGGCCTAGCAGTCTGGAACCCCGCAGGGGCAGGGGGCAGGGGGCCACTGTGGAAGCTGGGGACAGAGCACGGCTGAGGAGCCGGGTAGTGAGAAATGCATGGGGTCAGGGGTCGTGCACTGCGCTGGGGGGTGGCGAGGGGGCGAGAGCCAAGGGAGAGTGTGGGCAGGGCCCAGGCATAGGGCCGGGTGACCAGCCCCTGAAACCAGGCCTGGGCAGTGCCGTGGGGACGGGGCTATCTAAGCAAGGGCAGCTTCTTGGCCCAGGGCCCCACCCTGGTTGGTGGGAGGACACTCCTTCTTCTTGCTAGAGGGCTCGGGGCTGACGGTCAGCTTCACTCGGAGGGTCTTGCTCCTGCCTGAGGAGTGGTTGATGGAGGCGTCGACGACGTCATAAATGGTATGCATCAAGCTGGACATGTCCTGGGAGGGCACAGCTGACCTGAGAGGAGACACTGCGCACCCTTGCTGCTAAACACCCCCACCCCTGCTGCCCTGGCACCCATGCGCCATGCACTCCAAATCCCAGGCCAGAGAACGTCTTAGATTAGCCCAGAGGGTGCCTTCCATGGCTGGACGGTCACCCCGTTACCCCTGGAGTCACAGCTCTCTGCCAAAGGGCTCAGCAGACAGACGGACAGTTCCACTTTCACTCAGGCATGCTTATCTCAGCATGTTCATGTCCCCTGTCCCCTGCTTCACTTCAAGAGGCCTCTGGGTCCCAGACTCACAGCTCAGCCAGGTAGGGGTCACTCCTGGGACCTGGCTGCCCTGCAGGGTTGCTGGCCCAGGCTTGGCCAAGGGCATCCCAGCTGCAGACACAGACCACACCAGGCTGGGCGGGGAAATGTCAGCAGGCAGCCCTGGGTTACAGGACGCCCACTCTAGCCGGCCAGGACCGCCAGTGGGCCCCTCCTGTCTGCCTCCCACCTCCCCACAGCAACAGGCCCACCCTCTCCTACTTCAGCTGGAGCTGCCTCCCCATCTCGGGGGCTGGGTGTCTCTGTCTGTCCATCTGCCTACTGGACCAGCCTGATTCCAAATGCCACAGGCCACACCCGAGCACCCTCTGGTGGACAGCTGACATGCACGGGCACGGTACCTCCCTGGTGACCTTCCCACTGTTGTCAAAGTCATACAGTGTGAATGTCCACTCCTGACGGTCATCCTCCTCCACCGAGACATCACACTGAAGGGCCTGCTGGTAGCACGCAGGGATAGGGCACAGGAAATACTGTTGTCATCCCCCACAACCCTGGGTCTTCTATAGGCCCTGTCACACCAGGGGGCCTGTGACTCCAAGGGACACTTCCAAGGGGTCTTCCATTTCTGGTGTGCGGCCAGGAGACTCGTCCTTGCCTGCTCCAGCCCTCCAAGCGGACCTGGCACCGTGCTCAATCTCCCACTATGGCCTGTGCCTGCTCGAGTGCCCAGCGTCTCCCAGGATGAGGAGGCCCTGCCCACTGCCAAGTGCCAGCCCCAGAAATCGACTGTAAACCAGGTGGCCGGCTCCTCCCCAGGCCCCACAAGGAGGCAGGACCCGTCCCCAGCCCTCGCTGTACTTCCCCTGGGGTCTGGGCACCATGCGGAGACCTCTCCACTTCTGCCTCATTGGCCAGGCCGGGCCGAGCTCACCGAGACAGCTGTGCTGAGGGCCCAGAGCCGGCACACTCACGAGCTTTGCTCCTGGGGGCCTATGCTGGATGACAGGAAGGCCAGCTAGAAGGCCCAGGGCCACCCACTTGGGGCCTCCACTGCCCACCCCGGGCCCTGGGACGCTCTGTGTGGAGTGGGGCAAAGGCCTACGTCAATGTTCAGGCGCTTCCTGCCCAGGCCTCGCGAGCCCTCACGGTTTGCGGCTCTCTCCCCTTCGTCCATGCTGAAGAGCTGTCCTGGGCCCCTGTGGCCCTCGGCCTTCTCGGGGGGTAGCGCCACTGCGGGGAACAAGAAGGGGTGAGGGAGGTGCCCTGCCCAGGTAGGTGATTTGGTGACAGAGGGGACAATGGAGGATGGGGCCTGGCCAGGGAGAGCTGTTGCTGCCCTCCGCTACCTCCCCCAGCCACGGACCCCTCCCACGTGGGCCTGTGCTGAAAGTCGGCCTTTGGAATCAGGGGCACCAAGAGACCAGCAGGGAGGCCTCTCCAGAGTCAGCTGCAGCCAGGTGTCCTGCCTCGCCGACCTCCCACAGTGGCTCCCGGGGAGCAGGCTGTCCTCTGGGGGCTAGGGGGCTGCCGACATTGCACAGAGGGTTGTGGGAAGGGTCCCTGCTCGTGGGGCCTCCAGCATGGCCCCGTGTGGTCAGACCTCCCTCCCCCCATGCACGGTCCAGTTTCCCGACAGCCCTCAAGCCCAGGACCCATAGGTGAGGCTGCCTGCAGGCTGTCTGTTGAGCAGACCCCTCTCCCAGCCTCTGCTTGTGGACGGTGAGGTGCCTCGGTCCTACGGCTCGTTATTCTCTGGCTCTCACAAGCCATGTCGCCAGGTTAGGGCCCCAGGCCCCTCGGGCAGCACTCTCCTAGCTGTGAGCTGGGAAGGTGCCCAGAACCTGAGTTTCCAACAGGGGGTGGGGGGTCCTGGAGCCCCTGGCCTTAGCAGCCGTATAAAGGTGGCCCTGCACCCTGCACCTGATAGGCAGGTGGCCTGTGGAGACTGTCCTCTGTAGGAGGACTGTCCCCCACCAGAGATGCACCCTGGCAAGGACTCTTCTGGTATGTGCTGGGCACCCAGGCCCACTCCACAGTGGCCCCCATGCCCACCTGGGGCTCACAGTCCCAGTCATGGTCTGGGGAGCCCCCTGCCCCAGCCCCCCAGAGCTGTCCCCGTGGAGCCCGTGCCCACAGACAGGGTGCAGAGCTCCAGACATGGAGCAACAGCACTCGGGGCCACAGGCTGGACCACGTGTGATGGCCAGATGCAAGCTGCCTGTCCAGCGAGGATCCTGGGGGGGGGGCAGTGTGGCCACGAGGCTGCTGCCACACTTATGCTGGTAGGTGTCAGGCCACCTCAGGACACTGGCCTTCAATGGGGTGCTGTGAGCTCTGGGAGGGGACGTCAGGACTGTACTCACCTTCTAGGGGCACCTGGTCCTCCCGGAAAGGCCCATCCTTGGGGTCCCCACTGGGAAGCTCCTGCAGGAAGCAGAATAGCAAGTGACCATGAGGCTCAGCTGGGCAGACAGAAGGACATGAGCACAAGGTCTGCGCGGCAGGACCAGAAGGACCTGGGCCTCAGGCTTCCTGGGCTCTCCTGGTCTCTGAGTCAGGAACACCAGCCCCTCCACACCCCAGCATGACTGGCAGAGGTCCCTGCGCGTCAGCTCTGACCCAAGTTCCACCTGGGTGTTTCCAGGACCAGGACCCGGCTACTGTTCAAAGCAAGAGTCTGGATGGCCCTGGAGCCCAGCCCACCATGCTGACCGCTGAATACAAGAGGCCAGAGGTACAAAGGCGCCACCAGGCCCCCTGCCTCAGCCCCCCAGAGCCTGAGAGCCTTCTGTAGGGTGAGGCTGAGACGCAGGGCACAGCCCATGGCAGGAGACACCCCTCCACCAACCGCCGACCTCAAGGCCAGTTATGGGAAAATGGGGAGACTTCAGACACATCCAAGTCCGTCTTAGCCAAGAAACTCTGCAGAACAGAGCAGAAAGGAAACAAATCGTGCTCAGAGAGCTGGGGCAAAGGCTGTGGGGGTTGTCAGGCAGAGTCCCCACCCCGCGCTTGCAGGCCCCCAGCCCTGGAAGCATCCAGAAGGCCCAGGAGCCGCTGGACATTTCTGTTTCTTACTCTAGGTGGATGCAAAGCCTTGGGGGCCCCTGAGCAGACCCAGGGCTGAGCAAAGACCCCACCCACCCGCCAAATGGAATCTGTCCCTGGAGGTGACGCAGGGCCAGAGCACAGTTTTGTTTGTAGCTGGAGACAGGAGAGTGACGCGGCGACCCTGGTTTCATTTCATCCAAAGCCTCTGAGGCCCACAGGTGTGTCCCGGCACAGCTTCATCTGCCCACAGTGACCAGGAGCCAGGCCCTGAGCGTTCCCTGGGCCCACACCCTTCCCATTCCTCATCTCCCAGGACCTGGGGACACCTGCCCGACCTGCCAACCTCCTGCCAGGCCACCTAGCACCACCTCCAGGGCTCATGCCCACCCCTGGGACACAGCGGAGGTGGGCCTCCCTCAGCCCTAGAGCAGGGGTGCAGTAAAGCTGCACCTAGTGGGAGGGTCGGGGGCACCCTGCCCTGGCCTGTCCTGCTGAGGCTCAGCAAGAACCAGAAGAGGACAGCCGTGGAAAGCCGGATGGTTCTACGCCAGGGCACAGGTCCCCGTCCCACTGGGGCTTGGAAGAGGCGCCTGAGCACCAGGAGCAGCACCAGGCCCTCGGGCCCCTGGACAGACACGGCTTGGTGAGGCTGCAGGGCCCGGGGAAGGAGGGCCTCCATGGGGAGAGGGGCAACCTGCACGTCCCGCCAAGCCCACGGGAGCCTGTCATCGCCTGCCTCCCCGCACTTCAGAGCCAGCAGGAAGAGCTCCCGTCTGCGTTGGGGCACCACTCGAGAGCTCGTCTTAGAAGGCACCACCTCCCTTGCTCACCGAGCAGCCCACAGGCACAGACCTGCTCCGGCCCGTGAAGCCCGTTCACTACTCACTAACCGTGCGCCGTCCACTTGAGCCCAGAGGAGTTCTGACCCGCAGGACAGGGGTGAGCTCTGCCCCAGGTGGACATGAAGATGAAGCCTATTAACTTGTAGATGTTTGCTGCAAACGGAATCCGCCTGTGGAGATGCCGTCACAGGCTCCTGGTGCTGCCTGGAGCTCGGCCTGGGCCTCTGCAGGCTGCTCGTCCTCCTGGAGGGACCAGTGCCCAGCACTGGGGCCCCACCCCAGGTTATAAGTTTGGGTGCTGCGAGTCCACTGCCCACGAAGCACGGGTACGAGGCTGGCTGACACCAGGCGTGGCGAAGGCTGGAGGGCAGGGCCCAGCTGGGAGCCTCAGGAGGCGGTGGACCTAAGGGGCGGGCCCCGTGGGGGTCTGAGGCCACTGGGAACATGCCCTGGGAGGGCAGAGGGACCCTGGCCGTGAGGTGAGCAGTTTGCTGCCATAGGCCAGAGCAATGGGGCCCACCAATCGCGGGCTGAGACCTTAAAACTCAGAGACAAAATGAACTTGGAGTCTCTTCAAGCTGCTTCTCAGGACTGGCAAGATGACTGCCGCACTGGGGGCCGCTCTCTTCAAGGCTGGCGTGTGGGAGGGCGGGTGCCCAGGCGCCCAGGGGGCCTCTCCTGGGGCACTTGCTCCCGCCCTCAGAAGGCCCTGCAGGACTGGGCTCTGAGACAGGGTGGGGCCTGCAGGGTGGTGAGGCTGACGCGCCACTGTCCCCTCCCACCTCCTCTGGGGCTCAGCCCCCTCCCCGAGCAGCTAGAGGGCTGGGATCTTGCTGGTCTCTCGATGTCCCAGCGTGCTGTGGACTGAGGAGAGTGAGCACGGAGACCATGGCCTAGGAGGAGACCACCATGAACCAGCCCTTCTCTTCCTCACTGACAGCTGTCCACCAGCGGCCAGACGGCAGCAGCTCCCAGGGAAGGGTCAGGAGCCAAGGATGGTTCCTGGAGGAGACCAAAGGGTGAGTGGACAGGCTGGGGCTGGATCCCAGGCCTCTGCGACCCTGAAGATGCCCATTACCACTCCAGGTGTCCTGTGGGCAGTTAAAAGAGCTGATGTTCAAGGGCACATTCCACTTCCTATCTCCCTAACAACTTGAACACCTGCTTTCAGCATTACGGCCAGAGAATAAGGTGGACAGGCAACGTGAACCTAAAAGACAGAAGGGCTGGGTGGAGCTCAGTGGGAAAGTACGTGCGGAGCCAACCCGAGGCCCTGCCCCTAGCTCCAGGCACGTGTGCATACACTGACACACTTACCAAGAAGAGTCTGCGCAGGCCTGGGTTGGCCTTCTGGAGACATCCCCTCTACAACCAACAGAGGCTACAATGACCAACCGACTTACCATAAACAAGCAAGGCTACAGTAACCAACCAGGGCTACCAAGACCAGCCAAGGCTACCAAGACCAGGCAAGGCTACCATGACCAGCCTAGGCTACCAAGACCAGGCAAGGCTACAGTAACCAACCAGGGCTATAGTAACCAACCAAGGCTACAGTAACCAACCAAGGCTACCATGAC